ACATGAAACATACAGGTGCTAATATTATACGTGATATAATAAAAACTATTAGAACTAATTACTTGATAATTTTGGACAATCAATGTATTATTGACATCTCCCAAAGGAACTACCACTCTATTCTAAATTAAATAGTTATCATGAAAATATGCAAAAAAGTTCCTTTGTCACAGTATACAGGATGTGTATGGAGTAAGATCACAAACTGAACTGGTAAAATCTGCACATTAATGAGATATAACACAATTTTACTCTAAGTTCTCTTAACAAATATGTATTCTTTGTTTTATATACAGTATTTCCCAATCCCTCCCACAATGTGCACATCAAAGAAAGAAATTACACAAGGGCAGCACTGAGTGACGACACACCTGCAATTCAGTTTATTTGCCTAAAAATGCTGCCATTGGGTCATCCTCTCTTTGTCTTCTTAACTGGTAAGCTTCTATCTCTTCTTCTGTTGGTGCCTTAGCATTATACATTGAATTGTACTTTCTCATGCGCTCATCCATTTTCATCATATTTGCAGCTTCATCTTCTTCCATCTTAGCTCGGATCAAAGCCTCACGCAGCTTCTTCCTACGCTTTTCTTCCTTCTGTTCTTCACTCTCAGACTCACTGCTTGAATCGCTACTGCTACTACTGCTGCTGCTGCTGCTGCTGCTACTGCTGCTGCTACTATCATGCTTCCTTTTCTTTTTCTTGCTCTTCCTTTTCCTTTTCTTTTTCTTTTTCTTGTCTATTTTCTCTTGATGTAATTCAAGCAGAGTTTTCTCCTCTTTTTCCTCTGCTGTTTCTGGTTCAGCTGATGTAGAGGCAGCAGGTAAGAGGACTTCTGTATTTGACTGTTTTCCAGCCTCTCCGGTGCAGTAAGAATTTTTGATGAATGAGTGGCAGCAACGGTAACCCCATACTCCATCACGCCAATAACTACCCCAAACACTTGTGTGGTTCCTTGGGTATACATCTTCATCATACTTGGATCTTACAACTTGCTTTTCTGCACCTTTGATAATTTTACCATGACGGGAATACTCAACATAATTTTCTGTCTGAGACAACAGCAATTCAGTGGGTGGAACATCAAGATGTTCTTTCCCTCCATACTTTTCCAGAAGGTCATCTGAAACTTTCTTTTTGAATTCATCCTTCTTATCAATAAATTGCTTCTTTAGTAACTCAAGCTTTGTTGGTTCTGCCTGAAGACTAACATCCACACCTTTTTCATAAGCATCCCATGCAAAGAGCTGGGCTTTAGCTTGGTTTACAGTATCACCTGTAAACCTGACAAAATTTTCTCCTGCAAAATCAACTTCATCATCCTTTCTTCCTGTTCCTCGATATGGGTTGTCCCTCATAGATCTTGTTTTGGGATCATAATATGCTGAATTGGGATCAAGATTCCTCAAGTACTTGGCAGTGTCTTCACGGATACGCAAATTACGCACTGTAATTCTCTGTTTGCTGTCCACTTTTGTACCTGGCATGTCAACACTTTCAGCATACTTGTCCTCATCTTCATCATCATCATCAGGCTCATCATCGCTCATCTCCTCACCGTCCTTTAACTTCTTAGCTTTCAACTGTCTCTTGTATTCTTCAACTTTCTGATGCTCTTCAACAACAGCAGCATAGTCTGCTGGATTGAAACCATTCCATCGATCTCTTTTCCCATCAAAGTCCAGCTTAAGAGTTGGAAGTAATACATCATCTGCAGCAATGTTGCGGGCATTGAATTTTGCACCAACTTTTCGTGGTCTTTCAACACAATCCTTCTTTTTGTGACCCAAACCCCCACAATTTTCACATGCACCTTTACGATAACGTGTGGCAACACTTCCTTTCTGGCCCCTAGCATAATGCTCATTGAGGTGGTTAAAAGAACTCTGTTTTTCTGGTTGAGGCCGTTGATGTTTTAAGGTTGGACCGCCAGAACCAAAATACCAAGGAGCAGTGGAAATGTACTGGGGAATATGAGGGTTGATGTCCTTTCCTTCTTCATCTACAGCAGCTGGAACAGTACCTGCCTTTCGAGCCTCTTCTAATTCTTTTGCTTTCTTCCACTCCTCGCGTGTTTTTTTCTTTGGCTCATCTCCTTCTACTTCTTCATGCTTGGATTTCAGGATGCTGGAGAGAGGTATGCTTGGAGCACTCATCTTGAGGGAATCTGAAAAGAAAAAAAAAGAAAGAAAGAAAGAAAAAAAAAATATATATATAAATAGAATAAAAGTAATGATAACATTCAATCTGTGATATTCCAGAAACAATTTTCCTATCATATCACTGCATTAGAAATTTCTACATGAAATTAATAAAAACAAAAACAATAAAATAATAACTTGTTATTTCCTCTGAATAGCCATCAAGGATATCGACCCTTTTCTATTACTAGTTACCTTTAACATGAAAAATGCTTCTCAAAAAAAAAAAAAAAAAAACAGTATGTTTTATTCCATGTATTTTAGTTCACATTCTGCAGTTAAATTTTTTCTATTGTTAATAACTAAGATGAATACCTTCTGCATTTCCATATATATGATCATTTCAGTTTTCATAAATCTCTCTAACATTTTGTTTTATTAGTAAAGTTAGTAAAGGTTCAGGTATTAAAAACCTTCACTGATTAAGATTAAAGGGCTAATGTATTACAAATCAATACAACACATACGTGCTTGCATACATGTCTGCACATATGCACATACATACATGCATGTATGCACACACACGCATCCCCCCCACCACCACCACCACATTTACTGCATATGCTGTCATAATTATCAAATTGTAAAAGACATGTTTGACAATTCTGTCATATGCTACCCTTGGCAACATTCTAGATTTTTATAGTACTGTATATAAAAGAAAATATAATACTACAGAATTTTTCTCAAAATAATTTTTATACAATATCATGTATGCCAATTATGTATGCACCTAAAGTAAAGCAAATGTGTAATCCCATGAACATCATATCTATCTATCTATCTATCTATCTATCTATCTATCTATCTATCTATCTATCATATACATATATACATATATACATATATACATATATACATATGTACATATATACATATATACATATATACATATATACATATATACATATATACATATATACATATATACATATATACATATATACATATATACATATATACATATATACATATACATATATACATATATACATATATACACATATATACATATATACATATATATATATACATATATACATATATATATATACATATATATATATATATATATATATATATATATATATATATATGATATACATAAGAAATCTGAAATAGAACAATGCTATACTGAAAAAGAAAGTACTAAACCTGAGATATTCTGAGTCATAACTAATCTTTTTCACATAATAATACCAAAGTGGCATTAATCCACTGGGGTCAGGTGTCAACATCTGATCAATAAGAATATTATCTCAATATTAGTGTTTGAAGGAAACACTGTTGTAAAGCTTTAAGTATGGCTGTAGTCTCCTTTATTATATGCAAGTCACACATAATAGGTGAAACAAATGTCCAAGAAGGATTCAAATCCACTCCATAATTATCTTTCAGGAAAAATGCACCCAACCTGTTGGTGGGTGGAAAGTTTAAGCACAAAATTTTACTATTTGAACTGGGTAACTGTAAAGTGTGTGAAATTTTTGTGGAAATGACAATATATTTTTAATAACTAGTACTAGTAAATTAAGTTGTTATTGGTCATAGAATTACTGAAAGTAAGGTAAGTATGAATATTCACTCAATTTGTTGTACAGAAATGAAGAAAATTTGTTGTGTAAGTAAATCCATGGCAATCAGTTAGGGGTCTACTGGTGAAGCCCCAATAGGGATATACAGCAATCAGATGAGGGTCTGGGGCGAAAGCATCATGATTAGGAACGATTTGGATCATACAGCAATGTTTGTGGATTTCCCAGGAATGGCTGGAGTAATAAAGACAATCTCTAAGGGGTGCAGTCACTTTGTGAACATGACCAATACTTTCGTTTATATAATTTGAGAAGGAAAATAACAAGGGATTCACGTATATCACAGCGTTGATAATTGAAAGAATGAAATCAAAACTCTTTTTGTCTCCCAAAAGAATCCCCATTCTCCACTTTTCTCCTAAAACTGCAGGGGACTGAAGAAAAAAGTGAGTGGGAAAAAAATCCATTGCTTCTACAATTACCAAACGTAAAGCCCTTGTTTACATATTCATATATCTAGATTTCAACAAGATGCAGGAGGGCAATAACAGGTTTTCATACGTATTCCACATCTTATATATTTCAGTAACAATTTAAACTTACTGTAAACACTCCCAAAAGGGAAAAAAACTCCTTCACGACATAGAAACCTCAGCAATTAAATGGCTATGGCGATGTTATGATACGAGATTATTATAGTTGACCGTTCGCATAACCTGAATTTGGATGCGTTCGTGATTCGCATGAAGGCGTTCGTGGATTTACCCGGATTTATCTCGGAGAGAACACGAAGGGACACGTATTACTCCAGATCATCCATTACATTTTACGAGTTGTCTCAGTTCATGTCATACAAGCTGGAAGCCAATGAAATATCGTGAATATCCAGGAAAAATGCTTTTTAGTAATTTTTAACCAATTATTTGTAAATCTAAAGAGGTCTTTAAATATCTATAAATATTCAACATTTCCTCCTTTCTAATAAATGTATGTGACTATAAAGTTATTAATATAATCTAAAAATGCCACTTGTAACTATACAATAGATTTCTATCGTCCTTATAGTAGTCCGCCTTATAAATTATGCAGAATATATCTAAAATATTTTAAGCCCCTGTCCTTCATCTTTATCAGTACACACGTCATAAATATTACACAACACTAAAAACAATCGCATAAATATAGATAAGGAATTATAGCTTTAAAATTCATTTTAACAGACGATTTTCAAAAAAAGCCAAAATAACAGCCAAAGATTCGTTGGGTCCGTACCCCACCCGTCACTTCCATCAGGCAGGACCTCCAACATGGCAGGTGCCGGAGAGTGGGAATTAGTGGTGAGAGGCTCGAAGAAGAGTAAAACGGTTGCAAATGGCAAACTCAACAAGGAAGAAAAGAGGCAGTTTATGGAGAAGGCGTTGCGGCTTACAGATACAGGTGAGAAATCCCGGATATTTAGTTAGAATTAAGTTCAAATATGTTTGTTGGCTTGGAAGTGAAAATTCTGTCTTATTATTTCATTGGTCTGTTTAAAGGTAGATCTGGCTAGCTAGATAGTATTTTTGCAGCTTTACAGATTGATTTTGGGATGTTGAAACAAATGATAAAGAAAGTCCTTAATACACTATTTTTTTGCTATTGAAGAAATTATTTGAGGATTATGAATAAACCAAGTAAACTTTTTGATTAAATTAAGCATATGTATGTCTGTCATACAATCTGTTCTTGCAGATCTCTATTTTACAAGGGCTTCAGCTAATACAATTGGCAACTTTATTGTAGATATGTAAACATATCAGACCGGAAATTACCATATTGGCACCTTCTGATGCACCCATACCATAAATAGGGAAAAATGATATACGTCTAAGGGTCCACTTGCCTTTTAAATATTTGTAGATGGTTGCTGTGTATTGTTTTGGTTATAGTTTGTTTTCCATAGCTATGTAGTACAGAGCCCCCTATGGTATTACTTTTACATGTTGATAATAAGAAAGTTGTGCAAATTGTAATACATTTACAGGAAAATATAATGGCACTTTTATAATCAAAGAGAAAATGTACCCGCTGATACTTGAAATAATCTACTTTGAAAAGTTCAAAATTTAAGAAAATATATTGCGAAAAATGCCCCATTCAGAGTAGATTTATAGTGATTAGTTGGTGGTCCAGGATCAGAACCCCTGATACGGCCTAGGGGTAAAGCCCATGGGTTAGGAAGGTTTTTAGTTCATACAGTAATGTTTGCGTTTTTTTCAGGAATGGGCTGAGTATTAGAGCGATATTCTCAGAAGGGAGTGGTCACTCCACAAATAATATCAATACTTGTATTTATATCACTTACGTTAGAAAATAATTATCATAATTGATCATGCAAAGTTATTCTGACTATTTACCTTAAGCTATTTTGATTCTTGTTCTATTTCTTATGTTCTATGAAATGACGGTGTTCATTTCCCTGTATTTCAGTACGTCACTCAGTAATCAATACTGATTATTTCTTGGAGTAACATGATTTGTTAAGTTTGCTGCTGGACTGCATTCATTAGAAACTAAGTCTCCAACTCAAATGACTGAATCCCATCCTGAATGCACAAGCTACCAAAAAATTTGCTATATGAATAAAAAACCTGCCTTACCTTGGGGCTTCACCGCTGGACCCCTTCTCATCACTATTTAACTAGCTGGGGACTCTAAATCTGGACTCCCATCTAATCATACTTTCTCCCAAGCACATGCAGTCCTTTTATATACTTTAAGTGTGTGTAGTAACACTAAACTAATCATAGTAATGGGTTGTGCTTTCAGAGTAGTACTTGATTCAGTATTGTAACCATTGTGAGCTTCTTATAAAAACTGGGTCATAGTAAGATATTGAAATACTTATTAGAGATGCACACTGTGAGTGCACGTTTTTTTCTTTATTTTCTCTTTCTCTCTTTCTTTTAAGGTATAGTATGCATTGATAGGTTGATATTTTTTCACATAACCATCTATACCTTATTGATTATTATTCCATGTTTCAGGTATTCACATTATGATATGCATCAGTCTGTTGCTGTTTTTGATCACAAATGATATTAAGGAAAGTAGTCAGTTGCTAACTGTTTATGAAGTGAAAACACCCATCCGAGACTAAGTCCCTATTACACCAGCCACTCCTGGGATTCCATAGACATCCCCATTTGAATCAAAAACCTTTCTGATCTGGGAGCTTTCCCACCAGAGCCCCACCGCATGGCTGTGGACTTATCTTTTTGTGCTGCATTAACTGCAACCTATTTTCTTAATTTCTGGCATATTTCTTTGTTTGCCGAGATTATTTCATGCCTCAGTGAGTAGGTTTCCCTTTCTTTCTGATAGTGTCATTGCTGTTTCATGTAAATGTATATGAAAATATTATATGTTGTACATTTTTCATATTACAAAGAAGATATCATAGATGAAAAGAGTCGTAGTTTCTGCCCTTCTATCTGTTATTGGTAAACTTCACCCTGTACCAGACAGCCCTTTGAAACTGAAACAGTACCTATTGAGCTCCTATACTTTAACCCATGACTTAATAGAAAGCCAGAAAAGGACACCTGGACCTTAAAAAAGGTGTGAATGGGAATCATTGCTTTCATAACACAAGAGATGTGTTGGGTTTATTTCAGTTATATCTTTATCAGAAAAAGAAAGTGTATTTCTGATGAAGATATACTTGCAGCGTATCAGATGCATCTTGTGTTGTAAAGATATTACTTCTCAGTCTTACCTTTTTCTACATTTGTTGCAATGAACACTCTTCATACTTTGTCAGTGTCAAAATATATTTCTACCATATATTTTTGTTGTTATTTCTAGAAACTTGTTTATCTGTTATGAGAGAGGGATATGATGGTCTAAGATAAAGGGAAAGTCTGCAAGGTGCAAGAATTTGAAATGATAAGAATAAAGATAAGGATTTAACAGCTTACTAAGAATAAGATCTGCATTTGCACAATATACACTTACAGTACAAGAAAAACTATTCTGAGACTGAAAGAAGAACCTGGCTAATACAAGTTCCAAAAATAATTTGAAATGCAGATCATGCATTAAATATTTGGATGTGTTGAATGAGGTGTCAGGTATCACTCTTCTAACCACTGCCTATAATTTGGGTTGTAGAGTGGTTAAGGATCTGATATTGGATCTTGTGCTCGCATGACTGCAAGTCTTGATGTAAGATTGGTTTGTGTACAAGTGTGGTATCAGATTTCATGAAGAGATATTCATTATTCTTGCTTTTCAATAAAAAAGGTCTCTAAAGGTTTGGGAATAGGATCATATTTGATAAACATAGAAATAAATAACTTACTGTATTTGGATGATTTTACTCATAGGTTTTAGCTATAGCAATGAGAATGATTCTTTTTATTTATTAACCCCTTGGATCCGGTTGCATGACAGAAATCACGGAGCTAAAAACCCAGGGCAATGAGTTACATAAGTGGTCAGCATCCAGGGCATGCGGCACGTAGGCTGGGCATGCACAAACACCCATGAGCGGTGACAAGAGACTGTGCCTCCCCTTTGAAAAGTTATATTGTGTAAACTTTTTTAGCTTTATTGCTATTTTCCAATGTCCATATTTGTCTTTTGTTTTACTTTATCCAGATGATAATTAGTTATTTTCCTTGCACAGATCATCTTTTTATGTAGTAAATAGCTCAGTGAAAAAAAAAAAAAAAAAAAAAGTAACATTTGGTTATTTGTGTCAGATATCGCTTCTTTTTCTTTGTAATTTTAATTATACGTAATACAACCTGCACCGCTGGTCACAGAGTCCTTGGAATACGGTGCGCTGCATGGAAATGGCATCCTCCCCAGAGCTGGTGCTCTTCAAGTCACTGCTTATGCACGTTACATTCCACATTTGTTTGTTGATGGGAATAATGCTAAAGCCTTATAAGTGCCAAATGAGTCATTTCGCACTTCAAGAGGTTTGTGCACTCATGGCAAGTCTTTTCCATCACCCTGGTCTTTGTTCATGATGGCAGTTCACATCACCCGGGCCGCGGTCCATTTGCATGGTAGATGGCATGTTTACATCACCCAGGCAGCTGCCAAAGTTTTTCCTTGACATGACCACAACGTCATTTGGGTCCAAAGGGTTAATCCACTCGCTCCAGTATATTTTGAATCCGAAAATGATAGTTTCTGGGCGGCTACAAAATCGGCGTGCGGGTTTGAATTAGAGCACTAGCTCTGATCCAACGTAGCATTAGAGCACAAGCTCTGATCCAACGTAGCATTAAAGCACAAGCACTGATCCAACGTAGCATGAGAGCACAAGCTCTGATCCAACGTAGCATGAGAGCACAAGCTCTGATCCAACGTAGCATTAGAGCTCAAGCTCTGATCCAACGTAGCATTAGAGCTCAAGCTCTGATCCAACGTAGCATTAGAGCACAAGCTCTGATCCAACGTAGCATTAGCACAAGCTCTGAGTAGCATTAGAGCACAAGCTCTGATCCAACGTAGCATTAGAGCACAAGCTCTTATCCAACGTAGCATTAGAGCTCAAGCTCTGATCCAACGTAGCATTAGAGCACAAGCTCTGATCCAACGTAGCATTAGAGCACAAGCTCTGATCCAACGTAGCATTAGAGCACAAGTAGCACGATCTTAGAGCACAAGCTCTGATCCAACGTAGCACTGGCGGGACGCCTGGCAGTGTTTATTTTTCCAGGTGTCTCATATGTGGGACACCCGTTGTAAATGGGTTAAGAGATGTGAAAAGGAAGATTTGTTTTATGTATTTTAAATAACGGAACTTATTAAATTTGTTAAATTGTTAAGTTTTAAAAAGTAAAGAAAGATGGAGAATGGCATTCATAGATTATCAGTAATGTTTATATTTTTATCAGTATTTATCTGTATTAGTAAATCTAACTAAGGCAGCTGTACCTATATTTGTGTTTTTTCCTTTTATTTGCTTTACTCTTGCGGGACCCATCAGGAATCAGGGGTTGAAGCAAGAGGGGGAAATACACACACCTTCCTAACACCCTGCCAGGGAAAGCCGCTGGACCTTCCCCTGGGACATTTCCTTACCAGGGGCAAGTCCTAGTCCCCCTCATTATGCCAAAATTTTTACCATTTGAAAACAAGTGTTCACACATTGAAATTAAAGCACCGTATTATTTAACATAACACTCAAATGATGTATAAAGAGTACAGTATTTTCTTCAAAATTTAATATGAAGTTAATGTCCACATAATTACAGCTAACGCAAGACATCACTCAGTTCATTTCACAAGGATCTAAATTCCGTTTTATTAAAAGTGCTGGTAGATTAGACAAGTGACAGCATGTGACAATTTTACATTATTATTTTGCATGATGAAGTGTAAAATAATAAAGTTCTTGTGAATGTTAGATACATATGCATAACATCTACTAACATTGGCTAAGATGTTTTTTGTGGATGTGTGTAATGCTGCTGTCTTAGTTATTATTACATCTGTGTTTATTATTGATGTATCTTTTTACAATTAATGTAAAGTATCCATTTTTCATAGCTTTTATATTTGTCATTCCCACCGGTTTAAAAAAACGTAAAATTGCAGGACGAATTGAGCCAGCAAGAGAAGGTAAAGAAAATCGTAAACCTGCCTCTCCGAAGGTAAAGAATGAACAGAAAAATGACCAGAAGAAGAAAAAACCAGAGAAGAAAAGTAACAGTGTCCGTCAGCCTGGTACTTTGGAGGAAGCTATACGCAAGGTGAGGAAGTGATTTTTGTTTTTTGCGAGCAGTGGATGTGACTGTATTATTGCAAAGAGGTGACTAATTTTATTTATGTTTGAGATAAGTTTGGTAAGCAGCTTGTTTTCATAGAGCTGTTCACTTTTAACATTTATTTTTAGTCTTTTACCCCTTTCTTTTTATCACCCAAATTGCTAAAATACTTTTCTGTTTGGATGAACATGAACCTGTACTTAGTGTTTTTAAGAATAATCACCAAGGATACTTGGTCAGGTAATAGTTTAGGAGACACATGATTAATATTTCCTATCCAAATCTATTTGAAAATTCCTGTAACCTGTCATGGATGGCCTATAGTGTGAAATCCAAAACAAAAATAGTGTCTTGTCAAGCAGGCCTTATTGCAGCAGTTCCATGCCTCATGCTCAGGCAAAGGCAAACAAGCCTCTACTATATTCATTTTGGCAAGGTATACCAGACAGTTTTTGACAAGGTAACCCTGGGGAACCAAGGATGTTGCCTTGTTAGTCCTAAAATGAAAATAGGCCCTCAGAAGGTTTAAAAAATGTTACACCTGGTTTAGAGGAAAAAAGTTTTTATTTCTCAATTATACTTTTGTATTGGCAGTTTTTACAAAAAAATGAATTGGCTATCCACTTGATGTAGACCTTTTGTTTTATTTTATTTTATTTTATTTTGTTTTATGTTATTTTTTTTTTTATAATATTTTTATTGAATTTTGTCCTTTTATTTCATTTTATTTTTATTTTTGTTCCCCTCCTCCAAGGTCTGTATTTAACAATTGATATGTTGTATCAAGATGGGCATGACTTGTTTTCCGTGCACTCTATATTATCTTTCAAGATAATCAACAAGTATTTGTCAAACAATTGGTATAATTTTTTAATCTGTGTAATTTTTAGATATTTTCATATTATTAAATTTTATATAACACCCCACGCTGATGGTCATAGTGGGCAGAAATAGATCCTGAGCATGGAAATAGTGTCCTCCTTGGAGCCACACTCATTCACTTGAGTGAATAATGCACGAGCCCCTTCCTAAATCCCGACTGAATCAAATCTTCATCCATGAACTTTGTACTCATCATGAATCAATCACCCTTCAACTGAATTTTTCAGTGCATACTGATGTATTTGAATCTGCAAGTACCGATAATATATTTCACTATCTGTATCTCTTATCTGTCTACATAGCTGTACATGCTATTGGACTTTCAATATATACAATTTGAAATATTGAATTTAGTTATTAGTTTATTTTTCTGTTCTCTATTTTCTCTCAGCTGAATGTAGCAGAGATGCAGAACCTTCTTGATGTTGTGACTGCAAGATTCTTGGATACTCCGCTGATTTGGCTGAAGGATTTAGCTTCCTACTTGAATGTTCGCATAAACCCAATACATATGCCAGATCCAACATTCAAGGGGAAGCCAGATTCATATCCCACTTCACTTGTGTCTTCTCAAGTTAAAAAGGTAAGGCCTCATAGTGCACCAATTGTCTTGTTTGTATCAGGGCAGATAGATACTGCAGCCCAGCATTTTTTTTTATATGAACGGCGATAGTACCTTATAACTGATATATTTGTCATGTATAAACACTCATTCTCACCGTTACTCTTTGTCCCACTCTTTGTCTAACTAATTCTTTCACAGTGTGTCTCACACTCTCTCATATATTAATTTTTTTATTATCTTTTTTTTTCTGTTCATGAATGTTAAAAACCCTTATTCTGGTATATCTACTTTACCAGAAATAAGCCAGATTAGATTATTGTACAATCATATTGGAGGAAAATAGATAGACAAAGCATTTTCTTCAATGTTGTATTCTTTGTTCAACAGCTGTTGCTACAGACCCTCTCCGGTTGCAATGACAAGGTGCTTGCAGCATTCCACAAACACTGTGTAACATCCATGGTGCAGGAACAAGTGAAGGGGTTAAGTGTAGCTGGATACAAAGTTTTCATTCAGGTAATTTTAACTAAATAACTGAACAAAAATATAT